AGGTGGACAGCGTGAGCGCGTTAATCCGCGAGCTGACGACGCAGCGCACGCAGGAGGCGGCGTGAGCACGTAGAATTTTGTCCAATGACCCCAAGCTACCCATCTTTATCGCTCGCGCGTAATTATATTGCTGTCGCGACTATGCCACGGGCGCCCGCAGTGAATGTGCAAGCGCGACAGCAACATAATTACGCGCGAGCGATAAGGATGGGTAGCTTCGGGTCATTGGACAAAATTCTACGTGCTCAGAGACCAGATAGCAACACGTGGACTTACTTGGCCTTTACTTTACTTTGTAACGTAACTTTAACAGATCACGCCCCAGTAATTAAAATAATTGCATACCTACCAACCGCAGGGGCAGCCAATAGGTTATGTGGCACTCTCCCTGCCCTTTTTGGCAAGGCTTTCCCACCAATAACTTAATAATGGGACTTTATGAGTCTAGAACGCGTCTATCCGCCATTTGACCTCACTAAGTGAGCTCCTACATTGGGTTCATTGGGTTCAATCAGGATCTATAGAAGGCGCAGCGGTGATAATTCCCAACTACAAATAGTTTCAAAATTGGTCGATTAACATTCGTTCGTATTCGGCAGGTGGAGTACATAATATCGGAAGCGACCAGCGCAGAGAACCTGTGCCTGATGTACGAGGGCTGGATGGCGTGGGTATGAAGCGCCCGCGGGACCCTCCTGAGGGACCGGACCCACACGACGCCCCGCCCACGGCGCGCGGCGAGCAGCGCCCGGCGCTCGACGACTCGGCCTGCTGACGGTTTAGATTACTTCTCGATCGATGTGTCTCTTTGTTTAAATTCGAAAAGACGGACGTCCGTCTCGCAGTGGAGCCTGCGTGGGCCGCAGACACGATCGGGACTGCCGCGTACGAAACGCGCCGCGGCAGGCCGGCCAGCTTCACGATCCCAGTCGTCAAGGACGACGACACCCGGACGCGTCGACTCGTTAGATTCGTCGATGTCGACGAAAGTCGACGGTAGTGGCGGTCATCGATTAATATATTTCGTGCATGTTCTGAACCGACTCCGCTTCGCATCGAGGCGCCCGACCGAGTCCGAGATCAGTGTTTCGCTGTAAGTTTCGATTCCCATAACGTCAATAGCAGTAAGTGCCCCCGACCGGCACCCTAGATTAGTCAGTTCGGTGTTGACGGAGCACCGAACCCGTCGCTCTCTCGAACAGCGTTCGCGCCGCGAACGTTCGTCCCGCCCACCTCGGACGATAGTGTAATCGCATAACGTATTTTATAGTAGTCGTATTGTATTTTAGTTCGAACTCGTTCGCTGTGAATTTTTTGTCACCATCTATTGACACTGACGATCGCTGAAAATGACGATTCTTAGTTCTGATTTTAGAAGATGTTTTTCCAGGTGTTTGTACGAGGATAACATGCAAAGAATTTGCAGAAAATAAGTTCTTTTCCATTATTATGTATCACATATTTACCCGCATAACCCTATCGTGTGAATGTAGTGTGTGTGAGCCGAATTGTCTATCCCATCGCTTCGTAAGATTGTGACGGTGAACGTATCGAATGTCCACTTGACTTCAAGCGATCGCATCTAGCTTGCTAACCTATAACAGGAATACTTTCACCGAGAATGTTTGTATGTATCGCTTCATTTTAATAGTAATAAATGGTGTATGTCAAATGGACTTTCATTTCTACCCTCAAACAAAACAAATGTAATGGATTCGTCATTTATTTATTTACATTATCATTTATCTGTAGGATAGAATCTGAAGATAAAACATATAATTTATAATTGATTATATCGCAGGATTTACGCTAATTATAAATACATAAAGTAAAAAATACTATTCCTTCCTCTAACGAGCGGAAGTGCCGCCATTTTATAAAAGCAAAACATGACAAGACTACCTGCCATTTACGACGTGCTGCAGCATTGGTAGACTAAAGCACAGACAACCAAGCGAGTCGACCAATCAGGGATATCCTCTTTATACTTAAAAGTTGGCACCACTGGCGATTGACATAACTCTACAGTGGCGCCAACTGGTGAGCACTAAAAGAATAGCCCTCCGCGATACTAGCGCCACAGATAACGCCTCCAAACGTGATGCTTTTACAAAATGGACGGCATTTCGCTTTTGACTGCGCGAGAGCAGTATGGCGCTTCCAAGTTCTTCCTCCGCCAATGTGTCAACATAGCCCAGAACCTTATACCCTATGAAAGACTAGCCACCAACAATAAAATTAAAAACAATAATTTTGTAGACCAAATAACAAGAACCATTTTAAAATTTAAACATTCCTCACAAAAATTATGGATGTTTTTGTCATCAGTACGCTACTTTCTCTCGTTAGCATTGTTAAAGACATCTTAGCAACATTAAGCAACAGCTTAGATTTTAACACGTATAATACTCAAGCATTACCTTCGACCAGCTGATTTTAGTATGCAAAAGAAATATCATTGCTCTTAATAACATCTTTGCTTATGAACCTCAGTCAGATCCGAAAAAATCCACTGGCTTCAGGTATTGCTGCATAATTATGATGACTATTTATGCCGCAGCATATTATTTACATTTAGAAAACTTGAGAAATTGTGTAACAAACAATTTTAAAGTGAAAGATAATACAACTCAATCAATACAAGTGCGACATAAGTTGCCAAGTTACAAAGTACGTGGTTGAAATTCGGAAACTATACAGAAGACTCGACATCCCTTAACAATACTTCATCCCCCAGGAACTAAGGACACGGCACCTTACATTAAACCGCCCGACAGGCTATCACAATAAAAGCTATTTACATAATGAGAATACCGATGATGTCGCCGGTGCGTTGAACGTTATCCTGCTACCGACACATTATCATTTATTAAAATCTGTTTTGCTTGATGTAGCGACACCACGAATGCTTACTAAGGTCCACTCACCAGTACCTCTAGCATAAACAACTTTCGTCTTCGAATCGTTTGCGTATTCGACAAAATTCGATACTCAACCATCGAATTAAACGATAACGTTACAATTTTGATTCTCAAAATAAGTTTCGTGCAACCAATTCTCATACAAAGTTTACTTTACGGCACGTTCACAAGGGCGCTGATCTAGTTTTCGTACTAAATCTTTTGATGGCGATTCGAATACGCAAACGATCCGAACTCGAAAGATTTTCGTGCTAGCCGTACAGTTAGCGTCACTGTCGAGTAAGTTTCTGACACTCGCCAGTGGCGCCATATATAGAAACTCATTGGTCGGCAGGTTACCGCTCAACACAAGGCACGTTTATTAATATATCCAGTACTTTCTTTATATTCTAATAATATTATAGTTATTTTACATGATCTGTAAATCCCATGAGAAAGTACATAAATATGAATACCTTTAAAGACTAAACTAATAAAATGCAGATACGAATTAAATAGAAGTTGGCATTAGAAATGTCATTAAAACGTGTGTTGACAGGCAATCATTAGTCTTCGTCCGAGATTATAGATGACCTACACTGAACTGTCTCACTAAACTCAGGGGGGCGCATAGTTTTCAATATAATAGTTTCCAACATGGCAAAAATCGGAACCAGCGATCCGGTATTGACGGTGGCGCCCCCTGGCAATGTTACGGGTGGGACAATTCATTGTATTGGGTCTATACAATGAAATTAAACATTCCTAATTAAGACAATTTTGTTTTATGTCAATGTATGCAAACATGTTACACAATTTTATTTAAAAATGTGGTTATGGCAAATATACTTCTATCAATATTTATTGTGCTTATAATATCGATGATCCGAAATATTCCGGAATTTAATATCTAAATGAAGCTTTATGAACAGCGTGACCCTCGACGACTACATATCTTCAGTAATGTAACTATGCAGCAGCCAACGGGATATAATATTATGTGTACCTACTACTTTTTCACTGTTTCTTGAGCTAAGCTACGTAACTGGTGTGCATACATAAGAAATTTAACCGAGGCACTATTGGCAAAATTGCGTAAAATTGGTAGTTTAGAAACCTGTTGACATATGTGATATTGTAAAACATTGATTACCTATATTTTGAGGCAGTTTCATTTGCGGTATTATTGAGGCTGTTAAAGCTGTTTATTAAGTTTTAAAACAATCTGTAGTTCGTTTAAGAAACCGAGTCGTACACACGGCCACACTGTTAACTATCCATTTCCGTTTTTGCTCTCGCTCTCATCAAATGGCGATTCTTTGCGATAGAACGAGACGACATGACAGGCAATGGATAGTTAACACTGTTGTCGATGATACGTGGCGACGATGAATACGAGCAATCTGAGATTTTGTTTTCTCGGTGTTACAGGTTCAGCGCTGAACCCGGTCTGAGATATGATATGAGAGCGGCACGGGAACCCGCTTCTGAGGCTCAAACGTCAGCGACACTTCAGTACTTCTTGAATGAACAACTTTCGTCTTCGAATCGTTTGCGTATTCGACAAAATGCTGCATGATTGGTTATTTTTGACATGACATATATGTCAAAATCCACTAATCGTGCAGCATTTGGACCTCCCGTCTACGTATTGTCATCTGGCGGATTTTCCAATCGCGAAAACCCTCATTAAACGATAACGTGTCAATTTTGATTCTCAAAATAAGTTTCGTGCAACCATTTCTCATACTAAGTTCACTTTACGACACGTTCACAAGGGTGCTGTTGTAGTTTTCGTACTAAATCTTTTGATGGCGATTCGAATACACAAACGATTCGAACTCGAAAGTTTTTCGTGCTAGCCGTACTGATCTGTACGCTCGGTCACGTCATAATAATTACGTCAACGTCACCTCGTGCCGCTCCCATATCTCATGCAAAGACGTGAGTCAAGCACTAAGGTCGGTCGCCGAGCACTTAGAATTTTGTCCAATGACCCCTAGCTACCCATCCTTATCGCTCGCACGTAATTATGTTGCCGTCGCGACTGTGCGACTGGCACCCGCAGTGAGTGTGCGAGCGCGATAACACTATAATTACGCGCGAGCGATAAGGATGGGTAGCTAGGGGTCATTGGACAAAATTCTACATGCTCACGGACCAGACTATAGAACCATAGTTAATGGTAGTTTGGAGATCTCCAAACCGGCTGTATGCCTGCATGGGCGGGGCTGGTGGGCGGTTCTTCTCTTCTCAGCACTTGCCAAATGTTGGTCTCGAAGCGCTGGTAGGGTAAAAAGATTATGAGACATGTAGAGGCTCCTTAAGAGCAAAATGACGATTTGTAAGAACTATTTATTAGTCTAAACCAGTGGTTCCCAAACTTATTTTGTCTACTGCCCACTTTGAGAATAAATTATTTTTAGCGCCCCCATTTGTAGTCGAGTGTCGAGTGCTCAGTCGGTGTCTAAGAGTCCTCCTAGTAAATGACGCCTCCCAAGCCCCTACACAACGTCCCGATTGTTTTTCTGGATCTCTTACCGCCCCCCTTTAAGCCTGCAGCGCCCACAAGGGGGCGTTATCGCCCACTTTGGGAAAGACTGGTCTAAACGAATAAAGAAATTTTGACTTTGACTTTGCTACCTGGCGATGGGCGGCTACCTGGCCTGCTGGTGGGCGGCTACCTGGCGACTGGCTACCGGGCCTGCTGTCTCAGAGTGACGAGGTCGGCGAGCTGCGCCTTGTAGAGCGCGGTGACGTCGGCGAGGTCCAGGCGCGCCTCGCTCAGTTGCTCCTCCTTCTCGCCGTACATCTGTAGCAGCGCATCGTACTGCTCCTGCAGGCTCTGCGGATCGATGACGTCACCGTTACTCAAGAATACAAAATAATTTGATTGTCGCATAGAATGGACTACAAATTAGCTTGTGTTTATTATTTTGTTTAGTAGGTAGATAATATAAAATTTGTTCTAAATTAATTTTCATATTTCATTCTTTTTATCGAAATTTCCAAATGATTCATTAAACAATAGAGGTGATTCTAATGCTCGGCGGCCGCTGCCGCGACACGCTTCGCTCGCCTTCGCGCGTTAAGGGTCACTGTTCTAACCTAACCTAACCTACTATTTTCTGCGATACTTACTTTCTGCAACCATACTATTTTCTTCAATCTCTTTGTTTTACAAAATTCTTGTGAAAACCATGATCATCTGCCTTATGCTTTAATTTGTGGGTAACGGTGGGTATGTGAAGTGTCAATTTGACCAAACAAATTATTTGGGATATAATATTTGGCAAAATAAAACATTTGCTATATATATAAACATTTGCCAAGTAAAATTTTGCCAAATTATAATTTGACCAAATGAATTAGTTGCGAAAAGTACAATTGCTAAAAGTTCATTTGGGAAATGAAACTTTGGCGATAAGTTGTTTGCGAAGTGAAATTTGGCGAAAAGTAATTTGGCCAAACGGAAGGAATATATGTATTATTAATAGATGAGGCGGTTAAGATCAAAAATGCCTTACATAGTTTTCACAAATAGCATATCAAGATACAATCCAAAATAAATTATTTAGCATGCAGTATAACTACAATATATGAAAAAAAGTTAAAACAATACAGAAAATACTTACTAAAGCCATACCAAAATAGCAGAATATTAAGCAGTAAACAGATACTTGGTTGTGTATACGTGAAAGATACCAACGCGCTCAGCGCCACCGAAAGAAAAGAGATTTGGATTGACGTTAGGTAGGAGGAATAACCTGGTAGTCATCTAAACGCAGGTCGCAGGCGCGGCTTTTCTCCGCTCATTTGGTGCAGCTGTGCAGCAGCTGCAATGCATGTAAGGACCGGTCGCGGCGCATCGTTGACCTCCATGCCCAACGCCGCCGAAAGAAGAACGAGAATTTTAACGCACCTAGTAGTCATCTAGCCTCACCTGCAGCGCCGCAAGGCTGTCGCAGGCGTGGCTCCTCTCGGCTCGTGCTTGGTGCAACTGCGCCTTTAGCGCACGTAAGGAGCTGTCGCGGCGCATCGGCATCTTTCACGTCCAACACCGTCGACAGAAGAATGAGATCTTAACTGACGGAAGAAGAAAGAGCAATGCCGCACCTGGTAATCATCAAGGCGCGCCTGCAGCGCCGCAAGACTGTCACAAGCGCGACTTCTCTGATGCAGCTGTGCCGTCAACGCGCGTAAGGAGCCGTCGCGGCGGGTGAGCGCATCCTCAACATCCAGCGCGGCCGACAGAAGAATGAGACTTGGACTGACGGAGGGTAGGAACAATGTCGCACCTGGTAGTCTTCAAGGCGCGCCTGGTGCAATTACGCGGTCAATGCGCATAGGGAGCCGTTGCGGCTTGCCTTCTACGCTTAGTGCCGCTAACAGAAGAATGATATCTCGACTGACGGAAGAAGAATCCTCCTGACGCACCTGGTAATCATCCAAACGCGCCTGCAGCGCCGCGAGACTATACCAGGCGCAGCTCTTCTCCGCTCGTGGCTGATGCAACTGCGTCGTGAGCGCCGCTAGCAAAAAAAAAAATCTCGACTAACGAAAGAAAAATCTTCCTGACCTGGTAGTCGTCAAGCCGCGCCTGCAATGCCGCAAGACTGTCACAAGCGCGGCTCCTCTCAGCTCGTGCTTGGTGCAGCTGTGCCGTCAACGCACGCAAGGAGCCGTCGCGGCGGGTGAGCGCGTCTTCAACGCCCAGCGCGGCCGACAGCGAGGCAGCCGCGCCCGCGCCCGTCGGCGTAATGGAACCCTCGTCCTGGAATATGAGAGACGAATGTTAAACCCTGTTTGCATTGATAGAGTAATTTACTTCTCAGCACTTGCCATAATATGTGTATAGTCTGGTCTGTGAGCACGTAGAATTTTGTCCAATGACCCCTAGCTACCCATCCTTATCGCTCGCGCGTAATTATGTTGCTGTCGCGACTGTGCGACTGGCACCCGCAGCAGGCCTGTTCATCTCCGCGAGTTTACATCGAAAACAAAACACGCACGATGGCCCACCTACAGGATACTATTCGACAAGGCCTCACATACGAGCGAACATTGACTCACGCACGCGTATTCTTGTGTATGATGGAAGAAAATAAAGAAAATGGTGTACTAAATACTGTGCAGTATTTAACTGCCTAAATAATAATAAAAACACAGAATTTACTTTTTTAAGTTGCCTGAAGACACTGAGAGGTAAATAAGTAGTAAATATTATTCATGATAATTCATGCTAAATCGTGTATTTCCTATGCCATTTTCCGCAGTTTGGCACCTCACGTCACATCATTTTACCGAAGTCAGCCGTATATAGCTTCGGCGCAGTGCCGAATACTGCCGATCACTGACGTTTGTCAACAAAATGGTGCTTGACTCTTGAGACAGACTAATATTGTTAATGACATTGAGCAATGAGCATACATTTTTTTAGATACTTTCGCGAAGTAAAACTTCTGTACGTAGTACTTATTATTATTCTGTGCTTTTACGCTTACGTTTGCGTCCTACTTTTTGGGCGCTAGTTAGTTACTATTTTATGTATTTTTCTTTACTATAACTTAGTATGTCAACAACCATTTCACGTAACACTATTACTCGAGAAAAGATTTGCCACGATAACTCTGTCAGTATTTCACTACAATATAAACTTTACACATTGAAAGAAATAAAGATACATTTATTACATTTATACATTGGACATCTTTTCTTCTCGACGTGCTCTTCAACTCTACTTCAACTAACTTCAACTCTACTACGATAAACGTATGGCCCTACAAACCATACACGCACTGATTGAGTAATTTACTTCTCAGCACTTGCTATATGTGTAGTAGCTGCCAAAGCCACGATGACCCAAACTTCATAATGCACCAACATTCTAACCTATATTGGGAACGCTGACAAACTTTCAGCTTTTATAAAATGACGTAGGTCTGGCGTTCACCAAGTCGTAGTCTATAATTTATAATGACAAACTGAATTTCGCACGACTGAAGCCGCGGGCAAAAGCTAGTATATATTATTTTAAATAAAACCGTGATTTTTATATCACAATGTTGGAAGTGACATTCAGAGTTAAAAAAAACTTGAAACGGCTCGCGAGCGGAAATCCCACACTTTACGACTAGAACTACGCTTGAAATTCCTATTTATATTTATACTTATAGTTTCGATATGTCTGTCTGTCTGTCTCTCTGAGGTTTTGCTTGGAAACTATTAGCACTAGGGAGCTGTAATTTTGTGAAGATATGTATATTAATCACGCCGACAAAACGGTAAAATAAAATTTTGAAAAAAAAAATATTAGAGTAGCTCTTCTACATGTCTGAAGTGGGGACAAGTTTTTTTCATACTTATTTGTAATTATTAGCTTTTAAGATGTTTTGAATAATAAATAAATAAATTATAACTCACCATAGGCCACATGGAGGCAGAAAAGGTGTCGGAAGAAACGGAGTGCGGTGGCGACACGTCCCCGCGAGACGTTATTTGCTCCTGCAATTGCAATACAACTCGTTATCAATTATAAATATTAAGTCTCAACTACGTCACATACATCGCACGAAAATAACAGTAATAATCATGGTAACGGTATGCCTGAAGTCGTTATTTTTATTGCCTTATAAAAACTGTCAAAACGAGATTCCCATTGATTTTGTAGCCTGTGACGTCACTATTTTGCAACCAAAAATTTAAATTTACAGGTAATTTAAAATTAAAGTTTTATAAAACAGAACGAAGTCTTTAAAAAAAAAATCTTTAGAATTATTTGAGAACGGCGTCAAATGCCCAATCACTTGAAATATAAATTACTTGACACTGGCTAAACTTCTATTCCGAATTCTATTAATTTTATAAATGCGGAAGTTTGTATGGATATCTGGATATTTGTTACTCTTTCACGCAAAAACTACAGAACGAATTTTGATGAAAATTTACAGTATTATTGTTTATAACCCAAAATAACATATAGGCTATAATTTATGACGATCTGTGACAAACATGAATATGGATTTGACATTTTGCGCTTAAAGCAACTAAATTTCACGCGAGTCAAAATAACGAAAACTGTATCTTTGTAAAAAAAAACTTTACTTTCGTACTTCACAATAATAATGTTACAATTGTTATAAACTAAGTACTGTGCTATGGCTAAGGCTGCTAGTCGGATGAAGAATGACCACGGATCGTGGTTGTAGCTCCTATTTATAGGAGGTTTGCGGCAGCGCCCTGTTTGTGGAATCTTCCAGTGAAGTCCACGGTGTTATGGTTTTAATTAACGTCTTTGTTCTTATTTTTTATGTCTACATTGTTGTGGATGGGTTGACTCGCGGGTGAAGCCGCGGGCAAAACGGCTGAACCATTTAAGAACCTAGTAAGTGCAGCGGAGCAAATTTTACAGGAGAGCGAAAAAACGCATTTTCATATGCCCTGCTAAGATGCTTAAAGATTTGGATAACTTCCGATGTTTATATTAAAGATTTGTTACTAAAGTATACTTTATGGAATAAAAGAATATATTTAGTTAAAAATTGCAAGTTTTATGCTAAATTATTTTTTTGACAAAAGTGCCTCGTAAAAATCAAATTCAAAATCAAAATCGAATAATGAATCAGTACTCATGTAGTCCCCAGATTTTGATGTGGTTACCGAGTGTCAGCCAACAGAACTCGAAATAATATTTAAATTACAGTAGCATTTTACCTCTAGTAAGTCACATTGACCATTTTGAAACCTAGTAAGTCCATGCACTTACTAGGTTTTAAATGGTGTTAAGTGTAATAGAGCGATTTCTGTCTTCACATCCTGTGGAGACCTTAATTCTAAGGTGATTTATGACAAAAAACGAAAATCTGCAAAAGTGTCCCTTACTAGGTTCTTAAATGGTTCATCCGAAAAGCTAGTCTATACTTATAATAAATCTGTAGAGAGGTCAATTCTGTACATGAAATATANTCACGAGAATTCGTCACGTGACAAAGTGTGCGCGGGTGCAGTGCATCGGTGCTGTCTTTCTAGAAACAGTTTTGGTTTCTGGAACTCGCTCAGTGCAACTTTAGGGCGGTCATAAAATATAATTGGTATGAATTTTTCTAGTAAGCCCTTCTTCCGCGATGTCCACCCTCAAAAGGGATGTGCCCGCCTCCCTAATCTACAATGAAAGACTTATCACTCACTTGGTCAGTTCCTCCTCCAGCTTAGTGACTCTGTTGAGCAGTTGCTGTGCGTGCGCGGTCACGGCATCGAGGCGCGCCTGTGCGTCCTGTAGTAAGCCTTCTGCCGCAGCCAGGCGAAGTAGACTTCGCCCTCTTTCCGTATCTGCTCTCGCTAAGGATGTCTCCACCTCTACAGAGCATACATTAGTAGAATATTACTCACTTAGCCAGTTCCTCTTCCAGCTTAGTGACCCTATTGAGCAGTTGCTGTGCGTGCGCGGTGACGGCGTCGAGGTGCGCTTGCGTATCCTATAGTAAGCCCTCGGCTGAAAGTCCCGCCGTCTTCTTCCGCGATATCCTCCTTCAAAAGGGATGTGTCTGGCTTCCTAATCTACAATGAAAGACTTATCACTCACTTGGCTAGCTCTTCCTCCAGCTTAGTGACTCTATTCAGCAGTTGCTGTGCGTGCGCGGTGACGGCGTCGAGTCGGGCCTGCGCGTCCTGTAGCAAGCCCTCCACCGAGGCCAGATGAGGTAGACTTCGCCTTCCTTTTGGAGCATGGAGAATCTGCCTTCGCTAAGTCTCTGCTTCCACAACCTATGGTAGTAGATGTTACTCACTTGGCCAGCTCCTCTTCCAGCTTAGTGACCCTATTCAACAGCTGCTGTGCGTGCGCGGTCACGGCGTCCAGGCGTGCCTGTGCGTCCTGTAGTAAGCCTTCTGCCGCGCTCAAGCGAGAGGTAGCTGCCGTCGCCTCCTCACGAGACACCCGCTCGCGTTCCACCGCCTTGGCTAGAGACGTCTCCGCTTCCGCTGGAAACGGTGGGATAGCTTCCATAGCCTACGGTAGTCGATATCACTTACTTGGCTAGTTATTCCTCCAATTTAGTGACCCTATTCAACAGCTGCTGTGCGTGCGCGGTCACGGCGTCCAGGCACGCCTGCATATCCTATAGCAAGCCCTCGGCTGAGGGTACCGCCGTCTTCTTCCACGATATCCACCTTTGCAAGGGATGTGCCCGCCTCCCTAGTCTTCCATGGTAGATGTCACTCACTTGGCCAGTTCCTCCTTCAGCTTGGTGGCCTTATTGAGCAACTGCTGCGAGTATATCTCTGCCACTCTAATCTAGTGTTAATTGTCACTCACTTGGCCAGTTCCTCCTCCAGTTTAGTGACTCTATTCAACAATTGCTGTGCGTGCGCGGTCACGGCGTCGAGGCGCGCCTGTGCGTCCTGTAGTAAGCCCTCGGCTGAGGGTTCCGCCGTCTTCTTCCGTGATATCTATCTTCAAAAGAGATATCTGCCTCCCTAATGTACAATGAAAGACTTATCACTCACTTGGCTAGCTCCTCCTCCAGCTTAGTGACCCTATTCAACAGCTGCTGTGCGTGCGCGGTGACGGCGTCCAGGCGCGCCTGTGCGTCCTGTAGCAAGCCTTCCGCCGCGGCCAAGCAGGAGGTAGCCGCCGCCCTCTTTAAGCGGTATCTGCCTTTGCAAGGGATCAATGGTAGATGTGACTCACTTGGCCAGCTGCTCTTCGAGCTTGGTGACCCTATTGAGCAGCTACTGCGCGTGCGCAGTGAAAGTCTCCAGACACGCCTGCGCGATACCCGCTCATGCTCCACTGCCTTCCCTAGATCCCTAGGCCTCCAAAACCTACAGTTGTATTATGTGACTCACTTGGCCAGTTCCTCTTCCAGCTTAGTGACTCTATTCAGCAACTGCTGTGCGTGCGCAGTGACGGCGTCGAGTCGGGCCTGTGCGTCCTGTAGCAAGCCTTCCGCCGCAGCCAGGCGAGAGGTAGCCGCTGCTGCCTCCTCACGAGACACCCGCTCGCGCTCCACCGCCTTGGCTAGGGACGTCTCCGCTTCCGCTGGAAACGGTGGGATAGCTTCCATAGCCTACGGTAGTCGATATCACTTACTTGGCTAGTTATTCATCCAATTTAGTGACCCTATTCAACAGCTGCTGTGCGTGCGCGGTGACGGCGTCGAGGCGCGCCTGTGCGTCCTGTAGTAAGCCTTCCGCCGCGGAAAGATGAGGTAGACTTCGCCCTCCTTTTGGAGTATCTGCCTCTGTTAAGAGTCTCTGCCTCCACAACCTACGGTAGACAGTAGATGTGACTCACTTGGCCAGTTCTTCCTCCAGTTTAGTGACTCTATTCAACAATTGCTGTGCGTGCGCGGTGACGGCGTCGAGTCGGGCCTGTGCGTCCTGTAGCAAGCCCTCCGCCGCGGCCAGGTGGGAGGTAACTGCCGTCTTCTTCCGCGATACCCACCTTTGCAAGGGATGTGTCTTAATCCTTAGTCTTCAATCGTAGATGTCAGTTACTTAGCCAGCTCCTCCTCCAGCTTAGTGACCCTATTTGAGTGACAATGCAGCAACCTTTTTGCCGCTGCGAGTTGAGGCGTGGCTGCAATACCCGCTTACGCTTTACTGCCTTCACTAAGGATGCCTCCGCCTCCACAACCTACAGTAGTAGATGTCACTCACTTGGCCAGCTCCTCCTCCAGCTTAGTGACTCTATTGAGCAGTTGCTGTGCGTGCGCGGTGACGGCGTCCAGGCGAGCCTGTGCGTCCTGCAGTAAGCCTTCCGCCGCGGCCAGGCGAAGTAGACTTCGCCCTCTTTCCGTATCTGCTCTCGCTAAGGATGTCTCCACCTCTACAGAGCATACATTAGTAGAATATTACTCACTTGGCTAACTCCTCCTCCAGCTTGGTGACCCTATTGAGCAGCTGCTGCGCGTGTGCGGTGACGGTATCCAGGCGCGCCTGCGCATCCTGCAGCAAGTTCCCCGCCGAGGCCATATGAGGTAGACTTCGCCATCTTTTTGGGGTATCTGTTTTCGCTAAGAGTCTCTGTTTCCACATAACCTACGGTAGATGTTACTCACTTAGCCAACTGCTCTTCCATCTTAGTGACTCTATTGTGCAGCTCGAGGCGTCGAGGCACGCCTGCACATTCAGCAGTAAACCCTTGGCCACTGTCAAGCGAGAAGTAGCCGCTGTCTTCTTCCGCGATATTCTTCTTCAAACGGGATGTGTCCGCCTTCCTAATCTACAATGAAAGACTTATCACTCACTTGGCTAGTTCTTCCTCCAATTTAGTGACCCTATTCAGCAACTGCTGTGCGTGCACAGTAATGGCGTCTAGGCGCACCTGCGCGTCCTGCAGCAAGTCTNAGTTCTTCCTCCAGTTTAGTGACTCTATTCAACAATTGCTGTGCGTGCGCGGTGACGGCGTCGAGTCGGGCCTGTGCGTCCTGTAGCAAGCCCTCCGCCGCGGCCAGGTGGGAGGTAACTGCCGTCTTCTTCCGCGATACCCACCTTTGCAAGGGATGTGTCTTAATCCTTAGTCTTCAATCGTAGATGTCAGTTACTTAGCCAGCTCCTCCTCCAGCTTAGTGACCCTATTTGAGTGACAATGCAGCAACCTTTTTGCCGCTGCGAGTTGAGGCGTGGCTGCAATACCCGCTTACGCTTTACTGCCTTCACTAAGGATGCCTCCGCCTCCACAACCTACAGTAGTAGATGTCACTCACTTGGCCAGCTCCTCCTCCAGCTTAGTGACTCTATTGAGCAGTTGCTGTGCGTGCGCGGTGACGGCGTCCAGGCGAGCCTGTGCGTCCTGCAGTAAGCCTTCCGCCGCGGCCAGGCGAAGTAGACTTCGCCCTCTTTCCGTATCTGCTCTCGCTAAGGATGTCTCCACCTCTACAGAGCATACATTAGTAGAATATTACTCACTTGGCTAACTCCTCCTCCAGCTTGGTGACCCTATTGAGCAGCTGCTGCGCGTGTGCGGTGACGGTATCCAGGCGCGCCTGCGCATCCTGCAGCAAGTTCCCCGCCGAGGCCATATGAGGTAGACTTCGCCATCTTTTTGGGGTATCTGTTTTCGCTAAGAGTCTCTGTTTCCACATAACCTACGGTAGATGTTACTCACTTAGCCAACTGCTCTTCCATCTTAGTGACTCTATTGTGCAGCTCGAGGCGTCGAGGCACGCCTGCACATTCAGCAGTAAACCCTTGGCCACTGTCAAGCGAGAAGTAGCCGCTGTCTTCTTCCGCGATATTCTTCTTCAAACGGGATGTGTCCGCCTTCCTAATCTACAATGAAAGACTTATCACTCACTTGGCTAGTTCTTCCTCCAATTTAGTGACCCTATTCAGCAACTGCTGTGCGTGCACAGTAATGGCGTCTAGGCGCACCTGCGCGTCCTGCAGCAAGTCTTCCACCGAGGCCAGATGAGGTAGACTTCGCCTTCCTTTTGGAGCATGGAGAATATGCCTTCGTTAAGTCTCTGCCTCCACAACCTACAGTAGTAGATGTGACTCACTTGGCCAGTTCTTCCTCCAGCTTAGTGACCCTATTCAGCAGCTGCTGTGCGTGCAATGGAAGCATCTAGGCGCGCCTGCATATCCTATAATAAGCCCTCGGCTGAAAGTCCCGCCGTCTTCTTCCGCGATATCCTCCTTCAAAAGGGATGTGTCTGGCTTCCTAATCTACAANCCGGGGCGCCGGGCCCCGCGCGACACTCACCCAGCTGGGCGCGGAGGGCGCGCGTGTGGTGCGCGTGCGCGGTGTCCCGCTGGAGAGCGGCGCGCTGCAGGGCCGCCAGCTGCGCCAGCAGGGCCCGCACGAGGCCGGGGCGCCGGGCCCCGCGCGACACTCACCCAGCTGGGCGCGGAGGGCGCGCGTGTGGTGCGCGTGCGCGGTGTCCCGCTGGAGAGCGGCGCGCTGCAGGGCCGCCAGCTGCGCCAGCAGGGCCCGCACGAGGCCGGGGCGCCGGGCCCCGCGCGACACTCACCCAGCTGGGCGCGGAGGGCGCGCGTGTGGTGCGCGTGCGCGGTGTCCCGCTGGAGAGCGGCGCGCTGCAGGGCCGCCAGCTGCGCCAGCAGGGCCCGCACGAGGCCGGGGCGCCGGGCCCCGCGCGACACTCACCCAGCTGGGCGCGGAGGGCGCGCGTGTGGTGCGCGTGCGCGGTGTCCCGCTGGAGAGCGGCGCGCTGCAGGGCCGCCAGCTGCGCCAGCAGGGCGCCGCACGACTCGGCGGGCGCCGGCGCCGCGTCCGCGCACGCCAACTCGCGAGCCTCGCGGACCTCCCGTCGCAGCGCTTCTTCGCGGCTCGCCCAGCGGCGCTCCTCTGAAATGATGCACAAAAATGACCTTATAATCTTAGGCGGTTATCACACTGCGCCGCTTGTGATCCGATTTCATATAAAAAATCCCGCGCGCAAACGCATTGTCAGTGTGTTGTGCCGCGCGTGTTTTCTATACAAATTGAAATACTTGCATACAATGATTAAATCTGTCGTCTCGCGTACCGTGGCGGAGCGCGGCGCAGTGTGATAACCGCCTTACTCAAAAAAAAATTCAAACTTCAACTCTTAATGGGATTATCACATTGCACCGCGCTCCGTCGTGAAGCGTAAAAGACCGCACGCTACGAAGACCTGATCCACAGTACATAACCGCTCCGCGTAGGTGATGCAGCTCTTCGTCTGCTTCTCCACTCGTCATCTGTAACCCTGCGTGGTACGAAACTCGAGACGCGCGTGACGTCACACTCACCGGCCGTGACGTCGGCCCGCAGGCGCGCCAGCTCGGCAGCACGCGCGGCAGCGTCAGCACGGGCGGCACGCAGGTCTGCCTCGAGGCGCGCGTGACGTCACACTCACCGGCCGTGACGTCGGCCCGCAGGCGCGCCAGCTCGGCAGGTCGTGGTCGAGGCGCGCGTGACGTCACACTCACCGGCCGTGACGTCGGCCCGCAGGCGCGCCAGCTCGGCAGCACGCGCGGCGGCGTCAGCACGGGCAGCGCGCAGGTCGTGGTCGAGGCGCGCGTGACGTCACACTCACCGGCCGTGACGTCGGCGCGCGCGGCAGCGTCAGCACGGGCGGCGCACAGGTCGCGGGCTGCTCCTCACCAGTGACGTCACACTCACCGGCCGTGACGTCGGCCCGCAGGCGCGCCAGCTCGGCAGCACGCGCGGCGGCGTCAGCACGGGCAGCGCGCAAGTCGTGGTCGAGGCGCGCTGACGTCACACTCACCGGCCGTGACGTCGGCGCGCGCGGCAGCGTCAGCACGGGCGGCGCACAGGTCGCGGGCTGCTCCTCACCAGTGACGTCACACTCACCGGCCGTGACGTCGGCCCGCAGGCGCGCTAGCTCGGCAGCACGCGCGGCGGCATCAGCACGAGCGGCGCGCAGGTCTGCCTCAAGGCGCGCGTGTGCGGCGCGTGTGCGGGCCAGCTCGTCGCCGCTGCCACGGAGCGCGGTGAGCTCGCGCCGCGCCGCGTCCAGCGACGTCCGCGTCGACTCCAGCCGGTGTGTAGCGTCGTCTAGCGCGCTTTTTGTCTGCAACACCATCAACGCCGGCTCTCTTCGTTACGTTTTATCCGCTAAATAAAAGGCACCTTTTTCTAAAATACCGATATGAAAAGAGTTCATGCTCTGCATTTTTGTATAGGTAGGCCGAAGGCACAGAATAATAATAAGTACTACGTACAGAAGTTTTACTTCGCGAAGGTATTTAAAAAAATGTATGCTCAATGTCATTAACAATATGGTGTAATTTAGCCTGTCTCAAGAGTCAAGCACCATTTTGTTGACAAATGTCAGTGATCGGTATTGCGCCGAAGCTATAGGGCTGACTTCGGTAAAATGATGTGACGTGAGGTGCCAAACTGCAGAAAATGGCGGAGGAAATACATGATTTAGCATGAATTATCTACTTATTTAGCTCTCAGTGTCTTCTGGCAACTTAAAAAAGTACATTCTGTGTTTTTATTATTATTTAGGCAATTAAATACTGCACAGTATTAAGTACACGTACACAAGTACACCATTTTCTTTATTTTTTTCCATCATACACAGAATACGCGTGCGTGAGTCAATGCTCGCTCGTATGTGGCCTTGTCGAATAGTACTTATCCTGTAGGTGGGCCATCGTGCGTGTTTTGTTTTCGTTGTAAACTCGCGGAGATGAACAGGCCTGGTGCTACGTAAACTAGACATGTTACGAGTTAAAATAAGATATAAAGAATCACTACAAATATTTTATTAGCAGTTTAAATCCATCATGTATATTTCTCGACGAAACATTGCGAAAGCATGTAATCTATCGTGTAGTTCAAAACAAATAATTACCAACTAATTACCGATCTGAATAATGTTATTACAAGACAAACAAATCACAGTCACTTATGTACTTAGATACACTTATAACAAACACGCGATGCAGTGCATGATTCACACGTGTTACTGATGAATGATTAAATGCTTAATAAACTGGTAACGAGGAGATAATGAATTGTAACGATCTAGAAATGATAAATTACAATATTCTCAGCAAAACAGCGGTACCTACATAATCATTAACAAATGTTAGTTATAATACCGAACCACCAATAACGACATAGTCCAGTCAATGAATGCCTTAACGACGGTGTAGAGAGAAATCCGTGGAACACAATTTCTGACCTCAGGACTTTATTTAGCCTAGTTAGGTGGTGAACATAGAAAAAGTCCCCGCCCTTAGCCCTTGAG